ACAATTAATATATTTGAGTTAGCAGCCAGGTGTTTTGTAATTTTTACTACATATTTCTATATTGCATATATTTCAAATATCATGTGAAGATATACTGAAAGTGTTGGAAACTTTGCAAAAGCAAGAAATATACATTATCATCTTACAACTGATAATTTACATATTTTTAAATACTTCAATTATTACTAAATATATAACTGTACCTTCTCCCGCTGGAGCAAATCGATGATTAACGGGCTACCAAGTGATACAAGTGATAAATCTACCTTGAGAGTACTAAATATCTATCTAGCAAGTGTCTATATTCTGTTTGATATTTTCTGGAAAAATATAGATGTGCATCTAAAAATATAGATGTGCATATTAAAAATATGCATAAGTGCCTTGGAATTCCACTATCTTGCACAAGGTAAATTTAAGACAATGATTAAGAGAATCGAAACCAAGTATGTCTACTATTTTATTTATTGTTTGTATTGAACTGCATTCAGTGGCGAACAAGTAAGTGTAATCCTGACTTTACACTTGGGATCATGTCTGGTGATGCTCAAGGGGTTGAATTGGTGCTGACTCTGCAAAGACATGAATATTACTCTTTTTTCTATCTCTATAGGCTCTTTAATCTTTACTTTATGAATAGTCATTATAAACTACTTTATAGCATATGTCTTAAGGACTATAAGGTAAGGTAAAGGTAAAGGCCCTCCCGTTGTTCGTCGATTTGCTCGAGCGGGCCCAGTAACGTCTCCATTGGAGACTTTGTTTGTTTGTTTAAGGGCCATTAACTTGTTAAATATGCTAAATTTTGTTCCTACTATCATATTCTTTACACATCAAATTTGACAATCAGAAGTTGAACAAATGCAGAGTGCCAGTCACCAAAGGACATACTTGCTCTATGACTCACTTATCACTTAATCACTTAATCCCCGTTATTCATCGATTTTTTCGAGCGGGTGCCAGTAACGTCTCCATTCATCCTGGTTGCGTGCTAGCGTAGCCCAATGGTATCTGTTCGTTTTAGGAACATGTAGAGTCTCAAACCAACCGTCTTGATGAAGAAGTCTGACCATCTTATAGGTGGGCGTCCACGTGATCTTTTGATGTCTCGTGGAATCCAATCAGTAATGACTCTAGTCCAGCGGTTGTCTGTAAACCTCATTACGTGTCCAGCCCATCTGATTTTTGATGTCTTGGCAAATGAGACAGCGTCCCTGATTCTTGAGCGTTGACGAAGATCAGAACTCCGGATTCTATCTCTCATTTGAGTGAATCGTGATATTCCAAGCATAGTTCTTTCGATTCCTCTTTGAGAGACCCGAATAGCGTTCTCATCCTGTTTTCGTAGGGTCCAGGTCTCTGAGGCATATGTTAATGCAGGAAGAATAGTGGAATCAAAGAGATGTGCTCGTAGCTGGAGGTTCTTTGTCCTTTTAGTTATTTCTTCAATGCTCTTGAAGGCATTCCAAGCCACTCTCTTCCTCCTGTGCAACTCAGGTGCCAGGTCATTCATCATGTTGATTTCTCGACCTAGGTATATATAACTGTTGCATTCGGAGATGGTGGTTCCGTTGAGAGCGAATGGAGCGTCAGGAACAAGACTGTTTCTCATAAACATTGTCTTTGTAAGATTCAGCTGTAGTCCGACCTTTCCACATTCACGGTCAAAGTCGTTCAGCATTTGTGCCGCTTGGTTGATGTTTGGTGTTATTAGAACGATGTCATCAGCAAAGCGGAGGTGGTGTAGTTGCCGACCATCTATCTTCACTCCCATGTTTTCCCATTCCAGTCGTCGCATGATGTTATCGAGGGTGGCACTGAAGAGTTTTGGTGAAATGGTATCACCCTGCCGAACCCCTCTCTTGATATGGATGATTACTTCTTTGTAGAATGGTGAGATCTTGGTAGTGAATCCGCAATAGAGCTCACGAAGGATCCTGATGTATTGAGTTTGTACGCCCTGATTGGCTAAGGCTTCCATGACCGCTTCCGTCTCAACAGAATCAAAGGCCTTCTTTAAATCAATGAACGTTAGACAGAGCGGCATCTTGAACTCTCGAGATACCTCAATGAGCTTGGTTATTGTGTGGATATGGTCGATGGTACTGAATCCTTTTCGGAATCCAGCTTATTCACATGGTTGTCCTTCATCTAGTGTTCTGCTAATCCTATTCAGGATGACTCGAGTGAATAGTTTGTAGATGACAGACAATAGGCAGTTTGGGCGATAGTTGCCAATGTCGTGGATGTATCCTTTCTTGTATAGTAGTTCAGTCCTGCTGGTTTTCCATTGGGATGGAACCTTGCATTCAGACAGGTAGCGTGTGAAGAGTCGAGCCAATGTATTGATGAGTACTGATGGTAAGTTCTTCAGGTGTTCAGGTCTGATCTTGTCTGGGCCAGGTGCTCTTTGTTTCTTTACCGACGAGATGGCATGTTGGATTTCGGAAGGGAGAACATTGGGAACGACATATCCATCATGTGGTATGTGGTATGTGGGCAAGTGGATGTGACTATTAAAGAGATCTGAGTAGAAGTCATGAATAGTCTTCTCCATTGCCCTTCTGGAAGATGTGATAGATCCATCATGATGTCGGAGGGCAGTCATCTTGGTTTTGTAGTTGGTGAAGGACAGGCGGGCATTACGTATGTTTTTCCCAGCTTCTGCTGCATCTACCAGTACTGCTGCTCTCCTGTTTTTGAGGTCATCCTTGATGGCTTCTCTGCACTGTTTTGCCAGTTCGGACATTCGCTTGTGGTTGCCTGAGGCACGTGCCAAGCCACGTTGGCGAATAAGTTCAAGAGTGTTCGAAGAAAGACGGTTTTTTGTGGTTATCTCTCTCTTGGCATTCCTTGCACAATCATGGAGGTGCTGAACCAGTCGATCGTGTTCCTCATCAATGTTGTCAATGACGGCATCTTCCCATGTTGCCGCAACAGAGCCAAAGAGCTCCCAGTTGGTGGTTGTTCTGGGAGTCCTCTTCTTAAACCTTGCATTCTTTTCTCCTCGTTCTGTGAGGTAGAATTTTGCACGAAGAAGACGGTGGTCTGATCCCGTTTGGAATTTTGGGACAACAGCAACATCGGTTAGGCAAAACCGCCGATTGAATATGATGTGGTCTATGAATATCATTTAAAAATATATGTTTACTTGGATTGGAGGCCAGCCACACATGCTAGAGGAAAAGGCAGCTCAGATAGAGAAGGGAGCACCAAATAAAGGGTGTTGGGAGAATCCGCCCAGGAGGGGAGATGCATACTGAAAGTAGACTATAGACCGAACATGATTGCCACTCAATGCCTCTTTTGTAAACCACAGCACCCAAAAGGAGAGAGAGAACAAAAGAGAGTGCCCTGTCACAGAGGCAGGATGGGACGGGGGATGGGTGGTGGGAGGGATACTGGGATCCGTGGTGGTGGAGAATGGGCACTGGTGGAGGGATGGGTGTTTGATCATTGTACAATTGAAACCCAAGCACAAAAATTTGTAAATCTACAACTGTACCTCATGGTGTTTCGCTAATAAAATTTTTTTAAAAATTAAAAAAATTTAAATATAATAAAATAAACATGTATGTTTAGAACTTTTTTCCATATTATAGAATTCTATAAATTTGTTAATTTTTTTAATGAATCAAAGAAAAAAATCCAAATTGCTTCTGAATGTACTATAGAAGTTGTACTTAGGGCTTTATTGTCATTCTTTAGTCAATAAACTACAAAGCTGTTTTACCCATACAAAATATCAAAATTATTACAGATATCTCTTAGTGGATGAGTTGATGACGCTATACAACTTAGACAATCTTCTAGACAAGTTCATGTATTTTTGTCAAACTAGAAGGAAGATTTCTTGTTTGTATGTTTTGGGGTCACATCCGGATGTTTCTCAGTCTTATTCCTGGCTCAGAGTTTAGAGATCATGCCTAAATCTGCATCAAGAACATACAGAGTGCTGGTACCAAACCCAGGTCGACTGTGCAAGGCAGTTGCCCTCCCAGCTGTCCTATTGCTCTAGCCTTGAACTAGAAGGGTATGGTAGGAGAAAACAAATTTCTCTGATGGAAAGACAGAAATCCTGAAATTAAAGATGCTGTAAGAATAAAACAAAATTAAAAGGTAAACTGTATAATAATATAATGTCGATTTTAAGGGACCACAGAAAAGGTGATCAAGGTATGCATCATGGAACCAAGAGGCCTACATCTCCCTAAGCACTATCATTAGGATTAACTCATGGCTTTCTTGAACTCTGCTTGGGTAGCACAGGCAAACAAAATAAAATAAACAAAAGTTAAAAGAGCAGTAAAAGTTAAAAGGTAATATAAGATAAAGTAATTGGCCGCGTTATAACCAAAAACTTTCCCCCAAAAGCACTATCAGATAATTACTTTTTCTTAGAGAACATGATAATAACATCTCAAGGTGAAAAAGATAGTTAGTTCATGGTCATGTAAATAAAACGTTCCTACAAAGTAAAAATTTTTGATAGATTATAGAAATAAGAGCTTATTTCTAAATCATTTTTGAAAGTTAAAATTTATTCACTTTTTCTAATTTTAGACATTTGTTTGCTACCTTTTACTACTTTAATATTCATTTAGTACATAAAGATAACAAATAGATAAGAACTAGTTATACAGGTAATTTGCATAGACAAAGTGAGGATTTTGCATAGACATCTGGGAGATTATCATTTATTCAGAAGATAATTTGCATTTAGATATTTTTGTTTTTCAAAATCAGAGAAGTTAGACTATATGGGAGAAGAATGACTTGATCACCATTGGTATAAAATGTATGATGATTACAAGGGACAAAATATGTAAGACTTGAGTTTCCTGCATGTTTAATTTAACATGTTCTTAAATTATTATGAGCAGTACATTTGTTCTAGTTTAATTTTTTTCAGAAGGAGGCACACCAGAGGTACTCAGGCCTTACTGCTTACTCTATCCTAAACAAAATACCCTGACTCAGCTACATGCAAGAAAAGTTCCTCAACCCTGGTGATAGCTCTGTGACCCCAAGAGTAGTAGTTGTTTTACAAAGTCATTCAAAGCTTTTTTCACCTGTTTGTTTCTTAGAGTATAAATGAGTGGGTTTAACACGGGCATGGTGGAAACGGCGAATACCGTTATTACCTTAATACTAGCCATCTCATCTTTTGCAGAAGGTTTTATATAGATGAAGATAAAGCTGCCATAAGTGATGGAAACCACAATCAAATGGGAGGAACAGGTAGAAAATGCCTTTTTCTTTTGCTGAGCAGAGGGGAACCCAAGAATCATGCGAATGATACTTCCATAGGACCAAACCGCAAACGTGAGAGTCACTAGTAGGATAAATGAAGAGCAGAAAAGAACCATCTTCTCTATGAATTCTGTATCCAAACATGAGATCTTCAGGAGAGGATTAGAATCACAAATAAAGTGGTCAATTTCAGAGTCACAAAACTCCAGTGTCAGCGCATAGCCAAGTGGTGGTATCATGAGCAACAAAGTAATTATCCAACAGCCAGCGACAAGTTTTCTGCAGACCATGGGATTCATGATAGAAGAATAATGAAGGGGTTTGCAGATGGCGACATAACGATCATAGGACATAGTTGCCAGAAGGAAAAATTCCACTATTCCAAATAGGTCTATAAAAAATACCTGACATATACAAGAGTTATAAGTAATGGTTCTATCTCCTGTTGCTATACTATACAAATATCTAGGGATACAGGCAGAAGTGAATGAAATTTCTAAGAAAGAAAGGTTTTGCAAAAAATAGTACATGGCTGTTTTAAGGTGAGTGTCCACAAAGGTGAGAATGATGATGATGAGGTTTCCAACAAGGCTGAACATGTAGGTGACAAGTAGCATTATAAAAATGAAAGTATTTATTTGTATATCATCTGTCAATCCGAGAAGGATGAATGTGGTTACTGGTGTGTGATTTCTCATTCCAGTCTTATATCTTGATCTATGTGTAAAACTGAAAAAGAGGAGAGTAGTATAAAGAAAAGAATGCTACTTTCACTTCTATTTAAGTTAGAAATGTCAATTAATATATATTATTTGACTTCACTATTTTTGAGTTTTACGTACTTTGGGATACTTTTTGATGTTCTATGGGTTTAAAACTTTTGAAATTATTAATTTAAATTTATTGATGAGAAATATTTGCATGATAATGTTGTTATATGTATATGCTTACATTTGCATATATTATCAATAATTATTTGGGGAAACTATAGAGATATTCTAGCAGGTAAGGTTCTGCCTTTCATATAGCCAACTCAATTTTGCTCCACAATGCCACATGTGGTTCTTTGGACCGTCTGTGTTGATCAGCTGAATTTTATTGTTTTACCTGAAGAAATTTTTTTAGATGACTCAGAAACTGCCAGTGTTTAGTACAAGATATTTGTTCATCCATATCTTATACAATAGAAAAACATTTTCCATTACAAATAATCTATACACACCATACCTTTATATCCTATAATTATCTCTAGATATTTTCTATGGAACACTGGAATGATAAAATAATGTGTTTTAGTTTCATTAGCCCATCATTTAATTTCTTATATATAAAGTAGAGAGTATAGATTATATTATGATATGCAGGAGAAGGCATACCTTGGAGGGGAGCGGGTTGAGCTTTCCCCCCTTGGAGGGGGGCAGGTTGAGCTTCCCTCCCTGCCCCGAGCAGAGCTCCGGCAGCTGAAGACCTCCAGAACCAGCCATAACCATGCTGAGATCACTCTCTGCACGCATGAAGGTACCAGCAGAGGAACAAAAGCATGCGGGTCCCGGGGCTGAGATCTCCAAGCCTGCTCGGATCGGGGCTGAGCATCTTCCACCCAGATCCTCCATCTTCCAGTAGGCAGGGGTCACACCCACCAACTGACCCCCGACACCATGTAATCCCATCAACAGCCAAGACCCTGAGACTATAAAACCCAGCTCCCGGAAGTGGACAGCCGCATTTGTAGCCGCACGACATCTTATTACCTCATTCCTACTTTGGACAAACTGGCAGGCTACCGAATGTAACCTACCCGCAGAGCAGCGTCTGGCAAACTCCCCGTGGCATACCCAATATGCCAAATACCAGTAACAATGATGGGTATCATTCTCCTAACCCTGAAAGAGCCTTGAATATGGCACATTTTAAAATCTCAGGGCTAGGACAAAGGAGACGTTACTGGTGCCTGCTTGAGGCAATCAACGAATAACAGGAGGATCGTGATCGTGTTGCAGGAGAAAACACTGATTATGTAGACAGCTGAATATTTTACACTCACTTTTTAATGATTCACTTCTTATTTGTCTAAGTAAAACATATTCAGTCTTCTCTTAAATCACTGACAGCATATTTACTTCAGATGACTAAAATATTATCTAATTTCAATGTAACCCATGATTTTCTTGTTTCTAATGTCCAGATTAGTCCTCCACTGTCTATGACATAGGTTCTAGAAAACCAAAGCAGTAAAATACTGTGAGTGAAACCTTTTGGTTCTAATTTAAACCATCAGTTCCACAAGCCATGCTGACTCCTAGATTCCTAGAATGTTGCTAGGTGAGTAATCTATTGTTATTGCTTAAGTAGGTACTATCTTTATTGTTAAAATGAATGTTAGTCCCTTTATTTTATATACTTTCCCTTGAATTTGACATTGTCCACTATACTTCATGATAGTTTATATTTTTGCTTGCATCATATCCTCATTTATTCTTATTTTTTGTTTTTTTTTATCTTTTTGTTTCATTTTTGTACCTGAATTTCCTTCTACCTACTTACTTTCATTGTATTTTTGACACTTTGCCTCTATTTTCCCTTATGTGTTCTTCTGCGTATTCTTAATAAAAGCTACTGCATACCATAATTTCCTTTCTGTCTCTGATTCATGGTCATTCTAACTAATAAAATGCGGACTCAGAAACTTCATATTTTACATAAATTCTACATGGTCATTAGAAAATACCACCTCATTTACACCACTAATATTTTTTGTTTCATATATTTACTAGTTTACTAAAATGAAAAACCAATGTCTATTGTTTTACACTCCTAATAGAGAGAAAGAAATAAAGCTGCTTTGTTATTTCTATCAGAATCTTATTGAAACTTTAGAATCAGATCCTTAGCTTGAATTTGTACTGAGTGGTTCTATTTTTGTTCTTCAGACAATCAATCACAAATCACAAATCATCCTGTTAATCGTCGATTGCCTCGAGCAGGCCCCAGTAACGTCTCCTTCATCCTAGCCCTGAGATTATATTCAAGGCTCTTTAGGAGAATGAGACCCATCATTGTTACTGGTATTTGGCATATTGGGTACGCCACAGGGAGTTTTCCAGACTCTGCCGTGTGGGCAGGCTACATTCGGTAGCCTGCCAGTTTGTCCAAAGTAGGAATGAGATAATAAGATGTCATTAATCATAATAACATGTATTCTAATGTCTTAATCTCCAATATCCCAGACCATGGGATTTTCTCCATTAATAATTGGAATAAAATAAATTTCAAAGAAATATGAATGAATTTAACTGAAATGTGAAGATCCTCACTATAAACTATTCAAATACTTCAATATTTTAAATATTTTAAACCATATATTGAAATGTCCCCTACCTTAGAATGTAAGAAGGAAATATTCCGGGGTTTACAGTGACTTGGAAGTAGGAGAGTAAATTCCATTTGTATGCCTTGGGAAACTGGAGCACTTTTACAAGACAGACAGCAGAACCTAGATAATATCACATTAGAGAAATGAGAATCCTAAATTATGTATTCAAATCAACTCATACTTCAGAAGAGAGATATCGGTAGCTTGGTGGTAGATATGATGTGGTAACATTACATTACTACACTGTAGCACTATCCTACCGTTGTTCATCTATTTGCTCGAGTGGGCCCAGTAACGTCTCCACTGTGAAACTTGTTGTTTCTGTGTTTGGCATATCAAATACATCATGGATAGCTTGCCAGGCTTTGCCATGCTGGCTCGATATTCTCGGTGGCTTGCCAGGCTCTCTGAGAGGGACGGAAGAATCGAACCCAGCTCAGTCAAGCTGGCCATGCACAAGGCAAACGCCCTGCTACTGTGCTATCACTCCAACCCCACATTATATTACTAAAACACAAAATAAGTATTTTTACTCTAATAATGCAATGCATCCATATACAGATACGAGATTTTATCAGAAAGGTACACATTAATTCCAGCCTATATTTCATTTACCAAATAAATATAATCCTAGTCTTACTGACTTTTACAATATACTATACTTGAACTTGAGGATTTTACAGATTCTATACCTGGTAGATTTGCTGGAGAGCTGCTAAAATAACATACCTGGGTAATGTGAAAGATTCAGTGCAAACTGTTGTGTGCTTGACTCACCCCTTAATTATATATATATATATGTATATATATATATAATTCGATATGCCAGACACAGTAACAACAAAGTCTCCAATGGAGACGTTACTGGGCCCGCTCGAGCAAATCGACGATCAACGGGAGGGCCTTTACCTTTACCTTTACCTATATTATATAACTGAAGGTGATATATTATGCATATGCATATCATGCTCATTTTTTATTGATTCAGTCTCTTTTGCTCAGGATAAAACATATTCAGTTTTTTTTTCTAGTAAGCGGCTGACCAGGCCACAACAGTTTTGATTCACCTGCCCCTCTCAGAGAGCCCAGCAAGCTACGGAGAGAATCTCACCAGCACAGCAAAGCCTGGAAATCTACCCGTGACATAGTCGATATGCCAAACACAGCAACAACAAGTCTCACAGTGGAGATGTTACTGGGCCCGCTTGAGCAAATCAATGAACAATGGAAGAAGTGTGCTACAATGCTACAGTGCTCTTAATAAGTCATTGGCATTATTATAAACTCTATGTAATAGTAGATGGTTGATCATCGATTTGCTCGAGCGCGCCCAGTAACATCTCTATTGGAGACTTTGTTGTTACTGTGTTTGGCATATCGAATATGTCACAGGGAGCTTGCCAGGCTCTGCCGTGTGGGCGAGATACTCTTGGTAGCTTGTCGAGCTCTCTGAGAGGGGTGGAGGAATCGAACTCGGGTCGGCCATGTTGGCTGCGTGCAAGGCAAATGCCCTACCGCTGCTATCACTCCATTATCTATATAAATTTCCATATCAATGTCTTTCATATATTCTAAGCTTTAAATGTAGTTAAATTTTTGCAACTACATAATTCTAAAAATAATACATTTCTTTACAAGAAAAATAATTAAAAATACCAGCAAAAATATTAATATTAAAGACATAGAATGTATCTTTCAACTTTGTAAACAGTGTCAGTAGATTTTTAAAAAATCCTTGATTAGCTTAGAAATTGTAAGACTGAAGAACAACAGTGCTTACAAAGGTTTATATTTGAATATATAGTCACTGTTTATGGACAGTTGTAAACCTCAAAATTTTATTCTGCTGTGAGAAAAATGGTTTTGCAGCTTGCTCTCACTTCGATGGAACTGGAAGTTGGTCTTGCTAAGTGAGCTAAATCAAAAACTAAGAGATAATCAGATAGTCTTCCTCATGCACAGAATACAAAGAAACATAGA